GGAAGTAGTGCCCGATAGGCAGATAGTACCCCAAAAAGCTGCTTCATTTTATCTATGTTTAGAGATATAATTGTATATAATATATACATATAATATACTATATAATATGTATACAGTAACTATATATACATGCATACGATAGGCAGAGGAGTGTATGTGTATGTGTGTGTGTGCGAAATTGTGGTGACTTGTAATAGAGTTGTGCTTTCTATATTTTAGTTATTATTATGCTTTATGATTTTTCCTACATTGGCATATAGCATTTATTATTTGCTTAGCATATTTTTATTAAATTGACTCACAACTTTATTTAAATAAATCTGAAAACTAAACTTTATCTAACTGCTGTAAACGAGAAAAATCTGTGCCAATCACCATAAATAGAAAATAACAAAAATATAAACACTCAAACATTTAAAATAACCAAATGTCTGCATAATATATAAAATTATATTATGTATTGTATTTTGGGAAATATTGGCAAAATAAATTATTGCATAGAAGTTAATGAGAAGTCTATGATAACCAGGTTAGTTTAAATCATTCAAATTACCTTAGTATAGGTTTTATGGTTAAGTTTATATTTTAGGTTTATGTGAAGACGTCAATATTGTCATATTAAAGTAGGTATTTTAAAAATTATTTTTACATCTGCCTCATCCTACTCCAAGAACACCATTAAAGCAACAATGAGGTCTTTTAAGTGGATACAAATGGTATAAATTCTGGAGAGAAAGCAATGTGTTACAATTATGACTTTCAAGCTCTTAATTTAATTTCTTTTTGGGGAGAGTGAGCACCATAGCAGAGAAATCTATCTTGAAAGTCATGATTGTCAATTGCCGAGGGCACAAACTCAAGAAAGGAAAACATCTTTGTTGCTGCTTTTTTTTTGGTTTTGCCTGTTTTGTAATTCCAAAGCATAACACTAAACAGGTAAGAGAAGAGCACAGAGCTTATACAGTAAACTGAAAATTGGGGAAGAACTCATAATGATAAAAGAGCCATTTTCATGACCACAAGTAGTAAAGGTGCAAACTGAGATTGGCAGGCAATGTAAGATTTAAAGGCTATTGAATCTTTGAGAAGGGTTCTTTCTCCCTTCCTCTAGGTAGCATATCACAATCAGGCGAGGTTGTTGCAAAACCAGACAGGTACCAAAAGAACGTTCTGATACGTTTGAAGAACAGAAACGACGACAGAGTATAACCCCAGACACTAAAAAAAAAGTCTCACAGAAAAACCAGAGTTCCAAAATGGCAACAAAACAGTAACGTATTAGTTTTATCAGCCTGCCTTAACCAAGTACTGTAGACTTGGTGGCATCAAACAATAAAGATTTATTCTCTCATAATTCTGGAATCTAAAAGTCTGAAGTCAAGGTATTAGCAGGACCATGCTTCCTCTGAAGCTCTAGGGTAGGATCCTTCCTTGCCTCTTCCAGCTTCTGGTAGCCCCAGGCCTTCCTTGGCTTGTGGCAGCATGACTGCGATCTCTGCCTCCGTCTTCACATGGCCATCTTCCCTCTGTGTCTGTGTCCAAACGTCCTTCTTATAAGGACACCAGTCATATTGGATGAGGTCCAATATGACCTCATCTTAACTAGTTACATCTGCACTGACTTTATTTCCAAATAATGTCATTCTGAGATGCTTGGGATTAGGACTGCAACATACCTTTTTGGGGGACACAGTTCAACCCATAATAAGTAACAATAGCTAAAGATGTGCATTGGCTAAAATGTTTGATGGAAGCTCACGTAGTCTATACCTACAAATACATTGCAAAGAAAATGGCTAAGAATTCCTAAGACCAAGAAAGCATCTTCTAAGTATCTGAAAATGCTAGTGGAAAGAAGTGGCCTAGAAGTTGGGACAAAAAGGATTGATGGCCAATTAATGTGACAATTGGAGACCACGACAAGCCCAACGACTTATCAAGCAATGAGGCAAAAGAGATATACCCTAATATCTAAGACCAGAAGGTTGAGTTTTTACTTCCTTCTGGTTTATACAGAGCATCAGAGGCACTTCACTCAGTACCAGGAAAATAGGCAGGCATCTGAGGAGACTTGATCATCCTCAAAGCAAAATTTGCCTTAGGAAGTAGTAGGACGCAGAGGTGAGATGCCAAGGATCATATTTCTGGAAAGTATTATAAGAACACTTGGAGCGAGGATTAGGATTCTGGCTAAGTGTTATTACAAGTGAACCCCCAAAATATGTGACTTAATAAGATAGAAATTTATTCCTTTTTCAGACAAAAGTGTGAGTGAGAGTTTTAGGTAAGGCAATTAGACCGTCAATATGTGACTTCTATGTATGGGTCTAGGGCAACCATTTCAGTGATAACATTTTCAAGGGGAAGGGGGAGGAAAAAGTCCAGGTCTAGTGGCTTTGACCTTGAGGAGATAACTCTTAGGTTTTACACATAACTTTCTACTGAGAGCTCACTGCCAAAACTTCATAACAAGGTTATATACTTTACTAGGAAGGGAAGATGAGAACTATGGTCAATAGCTGCATGGCCAGTGCTTTATTTCCAAAAGGAAAAATGAAATAGTAGAGACTGAGGAATATCTGCCATAAGGAGCCCAGAAAATAGGGTCTTAGAACGTCAAGTGATAATGCCAGTCTCTGTAAGAGCAGTTGTTCCTTGAGCAGCCCTACTATTTGTTCTCGACATTAACTATTTAGAAGCAAATGTGGGTGGTTCAAAACCAAAAGGCTTTGTTAACATAGTTTCCAATACCAGCCAATGGTACCCTCTCCTCCTGCTCAGAACCTAAAGTTATGAAAGACAACTCCACTCTCCCCACCATCTGTCTTTCTTCAGATCCACTTAAGGGATAATAGCCCATAGTTGATTAGTAAATTAGCCTGAGTAACAACACTCTGTGTGAATTAGTCCATCTTGCCAGTGATTTTACCACCATTATATGCTAATTCTCAATCCTCCTGCACCTACTCAACTGTGCATCCCCTTTAATTGGATTAGCAATTACTCAAAAATAAACTCGCTCATCAGGAATCATTTCTAATTCCCATTTGTCTTTATGCTGGTAAGTTAGCAGGAGTAATCAATGGTAGACAAATTTGTATTCTACCTCTAGCAAGAATGGAAGGTAGAATAAGTATGGTTTAGATGCACCAATCTAGATAAATTGAACAGTAAGCTTTCGAGGATTTTCAACCAGGCCCAAATGGGGTACTATTTTGAATTGTATTGATCAAATATGAATGTATGATCAGTACAATAATATTTAGTTATAGAGTGCTTCTTATCTGGTAGATCCATTCTAGGCACTGAAAGTTTGATTTAAGATGCTAAATGTAGAACCGAAGAATGCAACATTAGTGAGAAGAAACTGGAATCAAACAATAGTTTCAAATCATTATCAACCAAAGGTTTAATAGAACATTGTACTATGGCCAAAGTTCAGATTTTAAATATCAGAAAATTCATACTGGTTCATTTTTTTATTACGAGGAGAACAGGAAAGCCAATTTGCAGAGTATTTCACCCTTTTAACAAAAAGAAATGTATACCAGAATCCAAACAAAGGAGTAGAGTTAAGATAATTAAATGGATTATTAAAAGTCAAACATTGTTAACTATTGAACAATGCATACTGAGGACAAATCTTGTGATTGTATTGAGACTGTAGTTAAAAATTGTCGATACAATTTCATTTTCTAAAATCCATGTATGTATAAACACTACAGAACACTTTAGGTAAGTCAAGGTCCATCAACATCCTGTAGTCCCGGAAAAGAGAAAAATTCTTATTCTTTTTCTCATTAAATTACATATTTCATGTGAAATCTAGGTCGAGGAGCATGTGTACAGAGAAAATGTTCTAGGAAATCATGTTTGACTCCAAAAAGCGCACCTCAAAATTAACATTTCTTTATCTAAACTTATTTATAGGTTCCTCCAATAACTACAGTTAGCACAATTTTACATACACTGTGGATAACACTAATATGTCAGTTTCAATAATATGACTGCACACGTAGGATAAAGCAGGCTCAGTAATTAGAGTCCATTCACGGGGTAAAGCAGCACTGTGTTAGATTGGACCTTTTAGTATATGTAAGTGTTGGCTTATAAAGTCCTTTTTGAGCTAGAACTTTTATGCCTGGATATTGGTAACAGGTAGCAGCACAACGTAAAAATTTCTGCTGCAGTTTCACTTCCCTAAGTTTGCTTTGAGGATTGCTTTGTTGACAGCCTCTTTCACATCCTTATTTCTCAAACTGTAGATCATAGGATTCAGCATGGGAATCACGGTGGTATAAAACACAGCCACCATTTTCCCCTGCTCCACAGACTCCTCTGTGGGCCGCCTGAGATACATGAATATGAGAGTCCCATAAAACATGGTAACAGCTGTCAAGTGGGACCCACAAGTGGAGACTGCCTTTCTCCTCCCATCAGCAGAGCGCATGCGTAGCACAGCTACTACAATGAGAATATAGGAGACGAGGACCACTGAGAGAGAATATGTGAAATTAATTCCAGCAATCACAATCATTGTGTATTCTTTGATGTGGACCCCTCCACAGGCAATCTTGATGAGAGGAGGATCTGCACAATAGAAGTGGTTGATTTCAAAGTTTCCACAGAAGTACAAGCCATATGTCCATAATGTGCATATTAAACTCACAGAGAATCCATAGACATAAGGCACAGAGATGAGGCGAACACAGACAGTCTTGGACAATTTACTGCCATAAAGTAAAGGGTTGCAGATGGCCATGTAGCGATCAAAGGCCATCACTGCCAAGATATAGACCTCCACATGGACAAGGGCAATGAAAAAGTAACACTGCACCAAACACCCCACATAGGAAATGCTTTTTGTCTCGGATAATAGGTTTTCCAGCATTTTGGGGGTGACATTGGAAGAGAAACACACATCCACAAAAGACAAATGACTCAAGAAAAAGTACATAGGACTCTGAAGCTGGGGACTGATGCTGATCAGAATGATCATACCAATGTTCCCTAACAGAGTGATCATGTAAACTACTAGGAACACCACAAAAAAGAAAACTTGAAGCTCCTGACGACTGGTCAACCCCAGAAGAATAAATTCTGTCACATCCGTGAAATTTGGTATCGCCTTCAAAAGACCAAGTCTGGATTGCCTAAGGAGAAACAAAACTCATGAATGGCTTTGTTTTATTCTTGAAACTTTTGAGTCACATTTATCCTTATCACAATTTGAATAATTTAAAAATCAATGCTGATTTTGCACAATGTCGAAGATGAGAATATATAGGCATAATTGTTTCCTTTAATAGGTTTTATAGATATTTACCACCAACATTTATCAGTTTCTTATCTGTAAAATAGGCAGTTACATTCATTGCTAACATGTATTATTAAAATTAAACATTTATATTTTGCTATATTATTACAATAATGTTGAAACACAAGGTACAATTATGACTAAAGTCAGACTGAGAGTTATCAGTGGTAATTGGTTTAAAATCTAGTTATTGACATATTTGTCCTCTATTATGCCAGCGTATGATATCATATGCTTTCAACATATGAAATTCCTCGTCATATTTCATTTGTTTAGCTAAACAGTTTACTCATTTGATTGCTGCTACTTGTAGGGGTAAAAGGATTTAACAGCATGGACTCTATCAGTTCTACAGTTATCTCTTAAAAGTAATCTACCAGTGGTTCAATTATCTAGCCCCCGCTATCAAAATTATGTCAATAGATAAAGAGCACGAGGCAAAGTTTAGGTGACATGTTTTAATAATTATTCTATCTCACATCAGATTCCTCTTGTTTTTAGAACAAATCAATTCTATGCCTAGTTATTCATATTCAAATCTAATATTACTACAAGAAAAAGCTTCCCAAACAACATTTTCTCCCTTGACTAGAGCTCCCCAGTTGACTCTTCCATGAAGTAAAAACTTGCCCTACATTCTTAAGGATGTATTTGCAGAATTAGCGCCATCTTGGAAATTTAAGCTCTCCATAGTAACAGTGTTTGAAGGGTATCTTACTGACTTACAAATGGACCTTTCTTTATAATTGCTTATATTAATTAATTGTATAAACATCAAGGCCAATTTTATGTCAGATATATTTGTTATGTTATATCTAGAAGTATTCTAAATACTGTAAATATGGGTGTGAGCAAGATATACAAGATTCTGGCTTGCATCATACTCTATTCTTGTTGTGAAGGAATAAGCAATAAACAAATGTACAAATGTGACACATTAGGGAGCAGAGCTGCTGTGTCAAAAGTACAGTATGCTAACAAGATAAGAAATAAGAGAAGGTGAGGTGCAGACAGAGTGATCAAAGAAGATCTCTCTGAGGAGGTGACTTTTGAGTTAGTGAGAAGTAGCCAGCTACAGAGAAATATGAAGGGAAAAGGGAATCAAATGCAAATGCTCAGAAGAGGAAATATTAGCTTGGCATGTTGAAAAAGAGTGTTGCTTGAGATATTCCTCTATATATTAAAAAGTGTATGAACTCTGATTATATCATGACCCCTCCAATTAGTAGCAGAGCATATTTGGGAAGTTAATTAATTTCTATGAACTATTTTCATACCCCTAAAGTGCTTAACATGGGAATTAAATATACCATATATAAAATAAATTGGGCACATAACATAATAGACACTGAAGTTTTAGTTCTGCACTAAGCTTCCCCTTACTATAGATTTCCATGATTGCAGATCATCTGTTTTGGCTCCTTTTAAGTGTAGAAATACTTAGCCAAAGGAGAGCTATGGACTCTGGTTGGGAAATAGAGCTAAGGTGAGGGATTTCCCTTTGTAAAAACTCCTGACCCCACTCCATGAACAGATAATTCTCTAACAAAGTTTGACTTGGGTTAATGGTGCTACTATATTAAGTATAAAACAAACAAACAAAAAGCATCAAGGCATCTACAAAATGTAGACCGGTGCCTCTCTAATTTTAGTTCATGTATTATGTGTGTATTTCTCTTCCTCTACACAATCATTACCTCTGTGGTAGTATACTTTGTCTCATTAATTTTGGAACTCCTAAACTGCTAGCTTATTTGCTACATTTGAAAGATATTCTTGAATATATTCACACATAGGATTTTTAAAAAATACATACTGATCTCTAGATCAGCTTCATGTCTTACATTATAATATTCCAACATTGTTAAAAATCTCTAAATAAGATTGTTCTTGGGGCAACAGTCTCAACTTCATAATATCAGTAAGAATACCTAACTTTCATTGAGTGTTTACTAAACCTTTTGCATGTGAAGGTCTTAAGAAACAGGTTCTATTACCAGCATCACTTTACAAATGAGGAAACTGAAGCACTGAAAGACTAAGAAGGTCTCTCTGGGTCATATTTCTGCTAATTGACCAGATTGGGATGCAAAACAATTAATTTAACTCCCGTCTTGTACTCTTAATAACCTTCAATTGTTGCTTTTTTGGTAACCTATTTTATTATTCTATTTCTTTACATTTAAATTTCATTTTGACCATCCTCCAAGCAGAAGAAAGTTATTCTTCTAATAATTCATCCTTGAGGGCCTAGAAGAGCTTTGTGTGACCCTGAAACAGACTGAACTACAGAGATAGTGGACCACTGTTTCTCTCTACCCCTCCCAGTTCAGGTGATACCATAGACTTGGGATCAGATGACCAAGTGACTTCTGAGTTAGAGCCAATTTATTACATACATGAGCATCATCTATCAAAACAATTGAGAAAATAGAATGTGCAGTTTACAAATAAGAAAACAAATTTATTTTTATTAACTTTTCAGGAATTTCTCTTGAAGAAAAACAGTGAAGTTATAATTGCTGGTCCAATTAGTCCCACTGGTACAATATCCTCAACTCCATTCACATATATTTTAAAACAACAACATGAAAATCAATGGTCTTGGTAGAGAAAAATGAAAGGGTAAAAAGTGAGGAATAAAAAATTTTGCGAGTACCCATTGTAACAAGCTCATTCTTAGGAACTTTTGAATAAACTCTGGATGGAAATAAAAACATTTCCCAGTAATATAATTCCACACAATAAAATAATGTGAAAAAAATAACTCTACAAATAAGGTCTCAGTCTTCTTTTCAAAATATGGATAAAAATTAAAAGATTTGACTACATTAATCTATATTGTAAAGAGTATACAATTTGCAGACCTACCTTCAGCAGAGGAGAACAGCAAATGATAATTTCCCCCTATTTATAATTGAATCTTGAACACTGAGAACATTGAGAGCATCTCCCTTAGCAACTGTCTAAGTAATTATGAAAGGAATAATGATTAAAATTCTATAAATGTCTCAGTGTACGAGGAGTTAAGGAGTGTTCATTAGAAGAATAATTCTTATAATAATATTAAGAAATCAAAATTCTTGATATCATAAAATAATCTCTCTCACCTTCACATGAGTTCTTCCCTCTTTCATTCACTTTTGGTAATTATGGCAAAATTATTATCTCAGGGAAATATTCTTGGTTTTCATCGTGTAAAATTTTGGTCAGTCGCTTCCTTCTCTGTTGTGCTACAGTTCTGATAAACACCATCTGTCAGGATGTATGATCACTCAATGCATACCGTATGCATCTCATGGTTGTTTTACAGACATCAGATGCCCCAACAGTATAAATGACTTGAAAACATCTAGGGCAAATGAGTACAAGCAGAAGTCATGGCGAAGTAGTCGATTGTAGTAGAAGAATTTGTCTCACTGAATTTAGGCTTTTCTGGGAGTCAGTAGAGCATTGAGTTTGAAGTCAGACAGATCAGTAATCAAACCTTGGCTCTATCACTGTACCTGACCTTGGGTAATAACAATTCTCAGCCTCAATACTCATCTCTAGAAGGGGGAAACTGCTATTTTACAGTATGGTGTGATGATCTCAGATAATAGAGGGATAACTCAGCACAATACCTGTCTCATATGAAGCACACAAAAGGATTGAAATTATTTGTGCAGTTTCACCTCAAATCAGTTTAAGCTATGATCTGACCACCTCCATAGGATTGTGAATAATATTATCCCTTTGTTGAAGAATAAAAATATATACATGTGAAATAACTATGAGATTAAGATTCTCAACTGAGTTGAGATAGCTAGCAAGTTAAAGAACTAGAATGTCAGCCTAGGTTGTTCAAAAACTCTAAACTATACACTACCTAACTTTATTTAGTCTGAAAGATCATGGAACAAATTGTGCTCAGGCAAAGTTTTCTTCTGCATTCTTCAGTCCCCAGTTACCCAGAATTTCTGAGTTTCTTCTCAGTTATTATGGAGAAAGTCCTTGAGGTGAACACATTATCATCAGGGAATTATAATGTAATATGCACTCTCTCAAGGAAATGTACATTTGAAAAGAAGAAAGTGTGTGTGTGTGTCAGAGAGAGAGAGAGCAAGAACAAGATTGACAGAAAGAGATAAATATGCTTTACGGTTAGATGCTGGAGATCCTTAAATATAATGAAGTGGATAGATTTAGAAATAAATGTAACAATAAGATTTATGTTTAAGAGTATTTTACAGAAATATCCTGAATTTTTAGCAAATGGTAAAATTAGTTTAGGTTCTACCAAAGAATTTAGATTGATGGAAATATGAGCCAGAAGAGACCGAGATCAGAGAGTGCGACCTAAAAATTAACTGGATGAATGGCAAAAAATGACTTCTCCAAGATCACCCACAAATTAATTTGAAATTTGCAAACTCAAACCAGAAACATGATTTAACCGTTGATTTTGGCATCATGATTCTTGATGTAACACTCTCCAAAAAACTAACTAAATAACTTTCCAAAAAAGTAAGTAGAGAAAGTATTTCACATATGAAAAAAAAAGAGATCACAAAGATCATCCAAATCCACCTGCTAACAGACTGCAAAGTATTAAAATGCTTTAAAATTGTATTTTGAATTCTCATTACACAAGCAAAAAATTAACTGTGTACGGTGATGGATGTTAACTTAGACTTATTGTGGTGATCATTTCTCAATCTATACAAATATTGAATTACTATTTTGCACGCCTGAAAATAATATAACATTATATGTCAATTATACCTCAACTGAAAAATTTAAAAAAAAAACATATTTTTAAATTTATTAATCACAAGCAAATAATTTGGCATATCAAGTGTTCCCCAATAAATGGTGAATAAAAGGTTTTACTACCCAAAAGAATTACTTTTATCTCACCTCAAAAGTAACATTAAGTATGTTAGATCTTAAGTTCTTTAAGTTTTGCAACTATAAACAGGAACATAATTTAATCTAAATTAGCAATGTGTTTATATGCAAATAGCTTTAAAGTGTTGCCCATGATATCTGTGTGCATAAGAAAATGAGTTCATATTTATTTCTAGTTTCCCCTGAGGAAAATAAAAATTCAAAAATGGACAAAGAGGAATGTTTTTTTCTCATATTGCATCAGTTTTGTTTTATAGTTATATCTTTGCAGATAAATTCGTAATTACTTAAATGTGTAGTTTAAATGGTGTGTATTACATTTCGTTAATTATGTACTTTCTGCAACAAAGAGTTGCACAAGAGTGATACTAAATTATGTTAAAATGTTATGGCAGAAAATGATATTTTTAACAACAAATAGATCATTCTAAATACTTTGTTTCTTTAAAATACAAAAATTATTTTAAAATATTTAAGTTCCATATCTTAGCCACAGATGTGCAAAATATTTCATGTGACTACCAATTTAATTTATTAAGTGAAATCTGGAGAGTTGTGCTTTCAAAATGGCACAACCCTTCACTAATTCCACCTGCTCTTCAGTCAGACTGAAGACACTGGCAGGGCACATGACAAGTGCACAGTCTATCACTGGCAGCCTTGGAGTTGAAATATGGCAGTTACTGGAATCTGTAAAAGAGAGACACTTACCATGCTGTGTCTCTTAAACAACAAAAATGTAAAAAAGAATTAAGTATGTTATCATTGCTATTTTCAAAGTACTCTCTGAACAGACTCACC